ATGGGGGACAATAATGCCCTTGCTGTTCTTGAGAAGAAGATTTATTTAAGGAATGACTCTAATTCTTGGCCATATTATCGAGTATAATCTGGTTTGGGTAAGTTTTAGCTTTTTAATCCGCGAAGCGGATTATAAAAAAGCGTAAACTGACCCAAACCAGATTATACTCGATAATATGGCCAAGAATTAAAGTCATTCCTTATAATTTAATTTTAAAATAATTAAACAATTGTTTAACTTTTGATGTAAAATTGTGTTGCTTTTTATAAGTTCAAATTTACCGCGCAATAATACAACCGTAGTAACGGAAGTGATTTGAAGCGAGGGGAGGTAATGACTGATACATAGATCTAGCAGCCATGATGTTTGTTTACATGAGGTAAGAACGAGTAATTGATTAAAGTTGAAGGTACATTTATTAAATCTGGAATTTTCCATGGATTCAGGACTGGAAATGAGGGGATTGCATGGATATTATGATTAAGCTGGTCGTTAAGGGGGTGTGTCCCCATACCAAACCAGATTATACAAAATGTTATGCGTTCCTTTTTGGAAATCAACCAATGAGAGGCGAGAATACAAATAAAATTAAATTATTTCTTAACGCAAATGAATATTGTGTTTTTATGTCATTTTGTTTGTTGTTAAACATCCCTCTCAGGAATTTTTCACCAATGGAGACACCACCACACTTGAAAAATAATGAGGACAAGTTAGATTTGAGGTCAACATTCATTTTAGGAGTTTTCAGCCATTAAGACATAAAGAAATATTAACTCGATCCTTCCCCTCACCCCTTCCCAGTCCTTTGTTTGTTTATGTATCCAAACTACTAGTTGTATTATACAAATAGTTTCATGTGGTCTATCTCTGAATGATTTTCATTCCTAATTCTAGGAAGATAGGTTGACACAAATTCATGAATAAAATGTCAAGTAATCTCATCATTGATGCACTTTTATTTACTTTAATGCAGTCATATTGTGAACATTTCCAGCTCATTAGGAGAGTGGGAATGACCTCCAGGGGTTCATAACCTTTATACCATTAAATTTACATAACATAATAACAACACAAGAAACAAAATTATGGATAGTCAAATGGAAAAACTTTCCAACTATTTAGGAGTCACATGATCATTTGTCATTACAGGGACAGGGAGTGGATTGGGAGATCGCCCTCTCATCCCCCCCCCCCCCGGAATTTGCAGGACTATAATATATACTGGAGGAAATAAAAATGACTTTGGATGCCCTAAGTGTCTCTCTAGAAAACAGACCCAAACATAACCTTTTTTTTTTTTTGCTTCTCAGGAAATTCTGGTCTGGAAACCCCCCTCCCTCCCAGTCCCAGAAAAAAATTCTGGATCTTGTAACTGAATGTAACTTTGATAACGGGGGATAACTCTTCAGAATGTCAAATTCGTCTATTGCAGCATCGGATGACCTTTGATCCTTTGCATTTCAGACTATTTTACCCAAATCTATACCAAAACTTTGTACTTACCGATTGTCATTATTTAGGTCCTGTAATCTTCATGAAATATAATCCAATTAAAACACAAAATGAAATAATTCCTACTGACATATATGCAATGATGTGTATACCACACTAGTAGCCTACTGCACTTGCAGTGAAATCTAAAAATGATACTGCCAATGGTAAAACTAGTACTTAAGTTGGGTACGTGACGCAAGCCCAATGTGATGCAGGTATTCAAATACATGTATAGTGCAAGAACAAATTGAAAATTATCATTTACGAAAGATGTTTTATCTTAACTTTGCCATCTAGGCCTATTTCCAAAAACAGGCAAATAAGGTGTGTTTGTGTGTGTGTGTGTGTTGATGGGAGAGGGGTGGGGGTTGACTAAATTGTGTATATGGCAGCTTTCAAGAAGTTTAGAACTGCCTAATCAAATATAAATAAACTTTGCACATTTTGAAAAATTCATCAAAAACGCTTTACACTAATTTGAATAATATTATTTGTTGTTGATCTATAGATATGAGAAAATAGATTTAAAAAGTTCCAATTATGTGCCAAAAATTTATACCCTCCCCCCTTTATCAAACCTAATTTACATCATTAATTTAATTCTCTTGTTTAATTTCAGACTGGTAATGAATTAAGAATATGAAATACCTATTAGATGGAGGCCCATGGGTCACATGGTCACTTGAGCATATTATGCTCAATTTGATAAAACGTAATTATATGTAAATTATTGAATTATATTGACGTTTTCCTTGGTAAAGCCCAATATGAAGAAGTGTGCATTTAGAGGCAAACACCTTAGTGCGGGTATTACTGTCTCATGACAGCATCTAGTTACTGGATAGTTTTATGAATGACCATTATTACTAAAGAATATTTACAAATTGCTGTTACTTTAAAACAGCTTTCTTTAATGTAAAAAAGAACTCTGGACTAAATTCATCGTGAGAAATTATTACTTTTAAAGTGCTGAAAAGTACTTGTGTTGAATAGTTTGCCTTTGCTGTTATTGGTTTTTTTTTGTAATACATGTTATATTATATTTTGTTATTTCCAATTTTCAATTTTTTATGTAATCAATATTAATAAACATCTCTTCTCAAAACTAATCTGTCGGTTCCCTTAAGGGTTTCTTCTTCACTGGTAATATTCTAATATTGAGTATAGAGACATATTTTTTTTTTTAGAAAATTATCCGGGGTATAAGTCGGTACGTTATGTAGCATTTAGTAAATAAAAAAAGAATGTTTGTCATCTCCCTATATTTCATGTTAGCATTTCAGTTCTTATACAGAAATCCTTTAAAAGTTTGCATTCATTTGCGTTCGAGACAAGGTTAGAATTTCTGCAGAAATACAATTATTTAATATTTTGAATATTTATTTACAAAAAAATGTGACCAGTTTTAAAAACGAAAGTCAAGTCGACTGTACATTTATCGAGGTTTCAATACCGATCACTCAATCACTTCATCTTTACAATAAGCGGAATTCTTCTGATGCAGTATCGGTACATTTATATTTGAAATGCTCTGATGTAGACGCTTTGAAAATCTTTCATTTCGAAATCTTTTAACATTTTCTTTTTGATGCAAGCAAAAAATACCTCTTGGAATAGAAAATCAGTTATTACAATGGCATCAGAGATAACTTTTTTTCATGAGTTTTATTTACAAATACGAGGGGTGATCAAAAAGTTCGCGAACTATCTCTATATTTACAAAACCACATTACAGATCAGAATGAAATTTGGCACACATAAAGTCATCACATGTTCTATAAATAGCATATGTAATGGAACGATTTTCCTCGTGTTTGTGACGTCACAATGTGAAAATGACGTCATAAGGTAGATCACTTGTGACAAAAAATTGTTGACTCAGTCGTATTTGGAGAAACTAACGGCTGTAAAGTTAAACATTTATCTTGGAAATTCCTTTGTAGAGGTTTATAATGATTTGTTTATGGGTTATGAAGACAAAAGACTTGCCAGAAGTTTTGTCAATAATTTGACTGAGTGTTTAAGAGAAGGAAAGGAGGTGCTTAAAAATGATGCTTGTTCTGTTGCCCAGTGAAAGCAAACTGGGAGAGAGACGTGTCTTTTAAATAAGAAATTGGATATAAAAGATCGCCAACTTACAGTTAGAAAAATAGATGAATATCTTTACAATGATATAATTATCAAATACCTGAAATATCGTTTACTTTAGACTTTGAACAAATCAGATATGATAAAGTGAAGGCACCCATACTTCATCCACGTAAAATAAACGACGCTAAAAAGACAGAGGACTTGGGTTTTGATGGTCACCATGCTCATTCTGCAAAAGGATATCATTATCCACCCACACTATTGCCGAGATTAGGCCATTTCTGACAAATGGACTGTTTTTGTTGGAAAAAATAACCTGCATGGTAAGAAATACAAGAGTCGGAAAAAAATTTAAGCTTCTGTGACAGAACGCTAAGGAGCATGTCACGTGACCGCCTATATCACGTGATCCGCGCATGGGCAGAATGGTTGCAGATGTGCATTAAAATCGGAGATGACTACTTTGAAACATTTTCAACAATGAAACCCTATATCATTTCTCTTTTGGAAGTTACTCAATTAGTTCTTGAACTTTTTGATCACCCCTCGTATACTGTCAACTAAACTCTGTAAAAAGAATACGTACTTTAGTTAGACCTTTTTTTTAAATAGAGGTTTATTTTCTTTCATGTTAAAATTAAAATAAATTGATTAAAGGTTGATTCACAGTGGAGTTTTTAAAACTTTTTTGATTTTTTTTTATTTTTATTATTTATATTTCAGACAAATATTCGAATAGAACGACAACATTTACACAATCGGCCCGCTGTAACGCTATTTTGTGACACATTGTCGAAGAAGTTCTTTGAAATTGGTTTTTAAAAATATTTTGCTAAGCTCAAACATTTGAATATTTTCATAGCATGATGTTCTGCATTCTAGTTCAGGTAATATTTTTGCATAATGATACAAGACTGATTATAACTGGAAAAAATTCTACTTTTTTATGAGATTTTTTTTTTAAAACGTCGTTGTATATTCTTTTAGTTTACGTACTCACGAATGAATTCGGGATTAAATCAAAGGATGGTCTGATGGGCATCTTTTAAATGAAAAAAACATGCATGTGGATCAATGATTTATTTGTTTTTCATCGCTATCAATTTAAAAAAAAAATCCGCAATAAGTCTAACTACATGTAAGACGGAAATATGGAGAAAAGATCATCCTGCCGTGTGATTATACTATGACCTCTGATCCCTTAATTAATTCATACCTAAATGTATACAGATTTCACTTGTAAGTATTCATAAAATTTTGATTATTTGATTAATACATATCATATATAATATATTCAGCAAACAGCACAAGAGGAAAAATCTTTGGAATACCAAAATCAAACAGAAGTAGTATTTGGTGGTCCGTCTTCTTACTCAGAAGAGGAAACTGATGACTTTCTCGAGGATGAAGAGATGTTTTCGACTATAGAAGATGACGAGTGCGGTGACATCTTCAGAATTCCAAGGCTTTCTCAAGGCTTACATGAAGCTATAACAAATATAAGCAAAATTGAAGACGTACGTAGATTTTTTTTAAAACATGAAGAAAGCAATAGGATGGAAATCAATCAGATTCTATAAAATGACCTAAAAATTGTCAAAATCTTCATGTAAATTGCATTAATTTTCTTATTTTTCTCCAGAAGAATATTTTTTAAAATAAGATTTTAGAAAAATGGATTTGCAATGGGAAATTCTCACCAGTTTTTCATTTGAGTAATAAATCAATTGGTATTCAGGTTGACAATGTTATTGACGATATTATGAAATCTATTCATATGGATGGAGCACACGTAGATGAACTTCACTGTGTTGATCAGGTCGTACAGTTTGATAAGGTTTGTCTGTATAATTTCATTTCAAATAAAGAACATATTTTGTAAATAATTTATTGAGAAAAAAAATGATACATGTATTCTGGTAAATAGATAGAGTAATGCCTTAGTCACATTTCACGAGCGGTGGCTGTAGACTGGTGGTAATCGGTGATAATCCGTGGTTTGAGCGATGCCCCAACATCGGTCCACATCGGCGTAGTAGTCCTTAAAGTATGAGTCACATAATCCAGCGCTGGGGTATACAATGGGCAACCGATACGTCTTTTGATAAAAATGACGTGGTTTCCGGCCGGACTTACAAAGGCAAAGCGATGTATTGCTTATCATAAAACGATGTTCCAGGGTAATCGGCCGATGTATATTACATCACTCATACATTGGTGGACATCGTTCGTACGTCGGTTGACTATGGGTAAATGTTTGGTCGAACATCGTCCGATGATCGGCCGATGTCTGCTGCCCACCATTCCCCCCCCCCCCCCCGATGACCTCAGATTTAATGGACACTTCTTTGTTAGATCACAAACATTTCCAAGTGATTTAACTTCTACGCACTACTACTCTACAACTGAATTTTTAAAATACCGTAATATCGAAGGTGAGGTATACGGTTTAATGATATTTTCAACAAAGAAATACTGTAATTTATCCACTGAATAAAAGTGATATACTGTAATAGACTGAAAAGATATAAAAATGATATTTTGTCACAATGTGCAAATATCAAAAGTGAGGTTAAACTCTCGATTTACCTTCCCATAACGTAGAGTGTTGTAAAAATATTCTTTCGACTGTTATAATATACAGAGAGAGTAAATAAACCAAACTGACAGAGAATAATACTGCCAAAGTTTTCCCAAATATGTTGCTGAAATTCATGTTTACAATGTTTTCAATCTCGTATCACTTAGCTATGACGTCTCAACCGCTCAACTATGACGTCTATGACAGCATTACAAAAAGACAAAAAGGGGGCCTAGGCAAAGGGAAAATCAAAGGAAATGTAATATACAGAAAATTCAACGTTTGTAGTTGAATATGGAATTCATTTCACGAGAGGGACAGGATTTTTTGATATTTTCACTCGTACTTTGCACTCGTGAAAATATAAAAAAAATCATGTCCCTTTCGTGAGATAAATTCCATATTCAACTACAAAACATTGAATATCCTCCATCTTTCCAACTGCTATTTATTCTTTAATTTTAGATTCTATATGAAAAGAAAAATATTCTATAAGGTCTTTCCTTTACAAGTCAATTGAAAGGTAATGTATCATAAATACTCGAAGAATAAAAATCTACTTTACTTAAAGGAGATATTTACAAACTTATATTTAGACATTTAAACCAATTACAGACTAAATAACTTAAGTATTAGAATAGGAAAAGATTACATTATAGAAAGAAATCATACAGAAAGCATTTTTCTGGTCATTTAAAGTACGTTTATGTGATTTCTAATAAGAAAATCATTTGGATATTCATAGTAAAAAACAAGAATTTGGAGTCAAGGTTTTCACTTCTTTCGTGGATAGTAAAAGTGGTCCCCGCGAAACTAATATCGCCCCAACCACTTGCATATTTTGGAATATCTACTACTAATGTGCATATATACCTAGAAAACAAAGTGTTCTCTTTTGAATTCACTCAATTACAAAACATAATACAGTAAAAATCGTTTAGTACGAACATGGATATTATGATTACACTGATATAGCAAAGTTATCTTGGATCCCCAGCTATATTAGTTTAACGAAGCCCTTATACGAATATAATGAATTACGGATATAGCGAAGTTATTTCATAGGTCCAAGTGACTTCGCTATAACCGAAAATTAGAAATCCATGACCATTGAGATTAATGTCACATTTAAATTCATTTATTTTAATGCAATAAGTATTTTGATACCCCGGTTACCCATCAACTGGTTAATTTCTTTCCATAATCCTTTCAAAGCTAGAACACCTTATCTTATCCTCCTTCAATGAGTAAAAAGTCTGTAAAACAGTTTGTCGTGTGTTGCCACCTTTGTGACGTTTAATAATTTGTTTGAAATTCTCAAAAGTATTATTAATAATGACATATAATTTTTAGCAGACACAAGATATCAAGATGAGAAATAAAACCAATTTTGTAAAGGGAGATAATCCAAATTTACAGTAATTACCACTTAGATTTAACAGAAAAATCATGAAAATGGGTCTGAAAACGCTAAAACATAAATTTAAACAACAAACAAATGGCGGAGGCGGGGCGGCAGGAGTTAAATAACAAACTTTGAAACAACGTCCGTCCTCCAAGGATGTAGATGGGAGAAAAGGCAGAGTAACGCACCGCATGGTCAGAATTTCATTTGTTAGATTTTGATTGGTCAGATTTTGATTGGTCAATCTCTGCCTCTCCTACCACGGTAAGACATGGAACAAAATTAACATTACAAAGCACAGCTATACAGTATTTCAGACTTTGACATTCAAGGAGGACACTTATTGATTACAATAAAAATTTTTAAGTAAACTTAAATTTATTTTGGACCAACACAGAAACTAAACAAATTAATAGATAATGCAAAGATTTCTTTGATTCCTTGCATATGGTTCAACAATGTATAACTTGGCAAATGCATCTACACAGACATACATATATTGCATATTATTAATGGTACTGTATTATTATATGTCAATTTTGTAGTGTTCACCATATCGACAATGCATGTAATTTTTTTGCTTCAATGTCCTGTAACTGATTTTTTAAGGTAAAATATATCAAACCATATTATTTCATGTCTCTTAGAATTTACTAACTTACTCAGCCCCGTCGCTAATTATGATGTTGAAGGTGGAATAGGGAAATTCATTCCTCATGCAGAGAGATGAAGAAATAATTACTGATTTAATGTATATGTTTGAAACATGTTCTGGAAGATGAAGGATATGGAGATAACGAACATTATTCAATATCAAAGTCCATATAACAATACAAAGTAGGAGCAGAGCAAAAACGGCCCTCCAAAACATCAGAGGTGGGATCAGGTGCCATGGATGAGTGACCATTCCCTGCCGACCGGTCACTCCCGCTGTGTGATCCTTGTCATGATGGGGAAATAACGCGAAAATCTGTCGTCAATTCAATGTGTAAATATTGGCCAAACAATAAGTATGAAAAACACCAGTCACCATTTCACTTAATGGTAAATTGTTCTCTTTCTGACTAGGTCATTGTATCGAATCAACTGAGATATATATACTCCGTATGCAAGTGATGATGGTTTACTGATGCATAAGTAAGGGAAGTTGATGATAGAAAAGTTAAAGTCATCACATATACATGTATCATAGAGCTTGGTTGTTAGATTACAATTAGCGTCTTTTTCAAGTAAAATATCGTAAGATGTGTCAGACTGTGTAGTATTTCTTTTATCTTAAGCTCACCAGGATATATCGTATCGACATAAGATTGAAAATCTCCATTGTAAATTGACAATACGCGTCGCCGATATACATGTATCTAAATGTCGAGTTGAAGGCCACAGCAATATTTTATGTAGGTTTTTTAACTGATGATGAATAATTATGTTATAGGACAAAGGCATTCTTACAAGTTGTTGCAATCCTAATGAGAAAAACCCCTCAACATCCAGTTTCCAATCAAGAAATTCTGTAAAACAGTTGGAAGAGAGGTTATTAAGAGAAGAGAGAGTTCGAAAGGAAAAACACAATATAAGTACTGCTAGTCTGTCTCTATTTTTCATATTAACTCTTAGTAAAAAAAATTTATTAACTTACTCAGTATTTTTCCAAGTTAGAAATGTTGAAAGTTTTATTATACATGTTTTAACCTTGCTGTTTTAAGAAAAGGGTAAGGTCTGAATAAATAATATTGTTTCTTGTTTTGTTAGTTGAACGTAGAAGAAGATTCAATATAAATGATAGAATAAAGGAACTGGCATCACTTTTGCCCAAACCAGCACACGGGTAAGTGTTTTTCACTGCACATAGATTTACAGTACCAGGCTAGGAGGTTATAAACCTTGACTCGGGCTCCAGCTCCAACTCTGTCTCCAACTCAAAATCGTACTCCTAGGAGTACGAGATCAAGATCTTAGGTTATAAAAATTTTCGAGTACATACTCCTAAGAGTACGTACTCGAAATTTTTGAGTACGGAACTCGGGCTTTTTTTTTCAATTACACAAGCGGTCTTTTAGAACTCCTCAGTAATGGCGGCCCCCATGTAATATTTACGCTGGTGATTTGTGGCAGTATTCCAATGGGTATACACTAATAGAGGTGAGTTCATTTGTTTATTTTCCATTAAAACGTTTGAAATTATATTTTTTCCAGAAATTCTTATGAAATTACATATGATTTCCGCAAAATGTAAAGGGTTGTTAATGTTTACTTTGTATCCGACGACAAAGTACAATATCGTCTGCATGCATACACAGAGTGTGACTAAAATGGGTAGCAAAACCCGGGCCGGGAATTCTGAACTGAAAACCGGGTTTTTGACAATTACGGAATGAATACTCGTTCTGTCTTCATGAAATTTACAGACATAGTACTGTGTTGATGAAATGAACATGACTTTTCATGTGTTAATATTCAATTTCTCTGTTGATTTTTTGTACCCAAAATTAGGGCTGGGACGATACAACTTTTTTTTTATATCACGATATTTGAGCCATGATACGATATGTATCACGTTTGATGGATTAGTTATAAAATCTTTTTTGCATGGAATTCAGGAAATAAACAAAATATACCTTTGCAAGTAAGAATAATTTATTCAAAATAGTTGTTTATACATGTATATCTTAATAAAGTGGTGTTTATACATGTAATTATCATTTATTTTATAATTCATATTATTATCTATACATGTATTCATTTTTTATATATATCTCAAAATATTAAATACACAAGGAAAAACAGAAATCAGAATTTTTTTGTGATGTTTTGATATTTCTTCATATATGTATTGATATGCGTATATCGTTCCTCACACAGAATTGATATTATCAATATCTCGATATATCGTCCCAACCCTACACAAAATAAATAATGTAATTCATTATTCTGATTTGATGCTTTCTTTAAAAAAAAAACATGGCTTATGATTGAGGCCAATTAATAAAAATAATTTTATAAACAATATAGAAACAGAAAAGAGGGAAAACAAATCCATAAGTTTATGATTATTGGTCTTTGTTTTTGTAGAATTTTAAAACAAGAACCAATAAAATATTTACTGACTCTGCAATTAGGTAATAACTAACTAATCTTCTAATTTGTTATTTGTGACCGTTAATGTTGATTTAAGGATTGTAAACTGAGTTTTACCGACGACGCATAAGCAACCGTTAAATCAGCATTACATGTCTTGTCACAAATACCAAATTAGAAGATATTTATTCCCATTCTAATGCATTTTGTTAATGTTTGTTGTAAGTTTATTTCCTTTTTTTTTTATTTTGTTATAAGAAATACGTTTATTTTTTAAAGGTAAGACATACCATGTATAGCTATAAAATGTTTTACTTTCAACAGCCAAAGAAAAAAGATTTTTAAAGAAAGAATGCAGATAGACAGGTGGTGAACAAGCTGAAGTGGAACTGGCAGAGGCAGAGGGGGTGCGTCTACAGAGACAAAATGGAAGACCAAGCATTTTTTGCCTAGAAGCAGGCTAATTTGAAAGTGGTGGTAAGGAAGAAAAGAACCATATTGACTCTGTAACTATCTTACTTAACAATAGAGTGTATGAATTTGATCACTACTAGACTCTTATTTTCATGTCAGTCCTAGTTTTGCGTTGCAAACTGTAAATCTGTTGAGTCAGAAAGGGATGTATGAATGGTGACTGGAAAATAAATGACACTCAAATGCTTCACTTTTTAGCTAACCTGAGTCGAAGGCTCAAGCTTAAGTGAGCTTTTCTGATCAAAGTTTGTCCGTTGTCTGTTGTTGTTGTTGAAAAGTGATAACTAACTACTTGCACTTATATTTGAGACTTATTTACAACATATGCACGCAAAGTTTTAAACCAATGAAATTATATATTTTCAAAGCTAAAGGTATAAAATTGAATTTGTTGAACTTGTCTACCACTTTAAATATATGTAATATTTTTAGGTACTAGTAAAGTCAGCAGAGAAGAGGAAGATTGATGAGAGGAAAAGAACATCTTGGTAGACACAAAAAGAATTAGGCTTGAACAAAGAAAATTAGACTTAAAAATATAGTTATTCTTCCTGGTTATCTTACCCCAAAGTCCTCATGTTAAGATACAATATGAAACAAAAACCAAAATGTTTTGACAATTTAATTAGAGGGAAAATATTTTATTTTTACTGAATTTGTATCTCAGAATCCTAGGAGCTTTCAAAGACTGTAAGATTGGCAATTGTTTGGAAAATTATATTCTAATATTTTTTATACATGTATTTTTTAGGACTGAAGTTAATCTTAATTAAGTTCAATTACTGCAAAAATTTTTCTAAGCCTTCGATTGTTAAAAAATGCTGTTTATATTAATTAATCTGTTGTAATTTTGAGAAGCCGAAAAGGAGATAGCTCAGGGTTAAAACTTAACTCATATTCTTTTCCGTAGAGCTACATTTCTGCAGCTAAAAAGGAGATACATATTTTTTTTTTTTTTCAAATGCCACCCTTACACCAAAATTTTGTTCCTGTAAATTTTCTTGACCTTAACTTAAGGTACATGTAGTTCAAAATATACTCAACAAAGAAGAATGTTATTATGTTATTTTAAAGTGTGTTGTGATAAAATTCTGATTTCTTCAACCAGCAATTCTGGCAACAGTTTGTGCAGAAGGCGTGAAATTGCAGCATCAACATTATCATCAAATCTTAAATATGGGTTTAATAGGAGTGTTTATTATTTTTCTAAATCCAAAATTTCATTGAAAATAGACCCCAGATTTACAAGAAATCATGAAAAACACTATTTTCATAAACATGATTATTCAAGGGAAATAATTAAACACTTGGGTTTTAAAACCCCATATTGACCTTTAGATAGATCACAGGTATCCAATGATAAAAGAGGTAGTTGTTCTATATACTTTTTTCAAAATTTCTTTGATGAGTAAAACAATATGCGTTTCTTTTTTGTTAAGTATATACATGGCCATTTTTTTTCTCAAATTAATTTTTTTGAAACTTTAAATTTTTCTGTAGTATACATAGTATACAAAATGTCATTTGAATGTAATTTACCCAATTTATTTGTTTATTTGTTTGTTAATTGTTTTACTTATCTTGGTCCCACTCTGACATATACAGGTAATAATTTTCATATAGCTCGATTGAAATTGGTTATTCAGGGGAGGAATATATGTTTAAACTATGTTAAATTATGCTGAAAGTGGGGAAAATAACTCATCATTGATGATCTATCATGAACTCTGTTGCTTACCTCTTTTTATTCCGTATTATAAAGTTTTAATTGAAATTATTGGAGTCAGAAAATTGTATATCATGATGTATTGAAAAGTACTTACCAAGATATGCTTGACAAATTGAGACAAGTTCTTGTACAAAATATAATTGGTTACTGAATGCAAAATACTTTTTAAAAATGTTTGAAATATTGTACCCAAGCAATGTTATCTTAAAACAAATGTATGGATATTTCATTTATGTATTCCTTTTGAGCTTTACATTCTGTATTTTGTAATCATGTTATCTGACTATGTTATCTGACAAGTCATAAATAAAGAAACTGTTGATAAGTTGTTTGGGGAATTATTATTAGTCAAATCAATATGTATACAGAATTTATCAATACTGATGTCATAGAAATTATGAATTGTAAGAATTTTGACCCATACCAGGGTAGTAACAGGCGTTTTACTAATTCACAATTCCTTGTCTGAAAAAGAGTAGAAAACAATATGTGTTTGTGAAACATTAATGCCCTCATATGGCAACATAGCAAAGATTAAACTTTTCTTAAATGCAAATTTAATTAATTGGTACCAAAAGTAGGGTATTCTCGCTGGAAAACAATTGTGAAATTTGAAAGTAGGCCAATGTTTAAGTTATTTCAATAAGTACAAAAATCTCCAAGGTCAAGGTCATAAGGTCAAGGTAATTGGTATCCAATGAAAGGTCTTGTCACATAGAATACTTATTTAGAGTATGGAACCTTTAGCCCTAACAATTCAGAAGTTATGGATAAGGTTAAAAATTTTAAGAATAGGTCAAACTCCAAGGTCAAGGTCAACGGGTCAATGTTCTTGTTATTAAATGAAAGGTCTTATCACAAGAATTAAATATTTAAAGTACGAAAAAACTAGCCCTAACCCTTAAAAGTAATGGTCAAGGTTTTTCTTTTTTAAAGTAGGTCAAACTCAAAGGTCAAGGGGTCAAAGTTCTGGGTATCCAATAAAGGGTCTTCTCACACGGATAACATATATGAAGTATAAAAGCCATATCTCTTACTGTACAAAAGTCATGGCCAAGGTGAAAGTTTTTTCACAAGTAGGGAATCTACAAGGTCAAAGTGTCAACGTTGTTGGTATCTAATGAAAGGTCTACCAACAATGAATACATATGCAAAGTAAAAATGTTCTGGTATATTCTGTTCAAAAGATATGACCGAAGTAAAAGTTTAAAATTTTCATGTCAAATTGGGTCAAAATACAAGGTCAAAAGGTCTAATTTGGTGGTACCCAAAGAAAGGTCTTGTCAAAAGAAATACACACGTGAAATATGAAAGTCATGGCTCCACTGAATCAGAAATTATGGGCAAGGTTAAATTTTTTTGCGGACAAACAGACAGAGAGACGGACAGACACGACAAAAACTATATACCCCCGAAACTTCATTTACGGGGCATAAAAATAAAACAAGCGTTTTAAATGTTACAGCCATTTTATCTATTGTAAAATAAAACTATTCATTTCTGTACTCTCTTTAACAGCACACTGTGCAAAGTGTATGTACATGTAC